GGGTTTCACCGTGTTAGCCAGGATGGTCTCGATCTCCTGACCTCGTGATCTGCCCGCCTCGGCCTCCCAAAGTGCTGGGATTACAGGCGTAAGCCACCGCGCCCGGCACCATCTTTTTTTTTGGTCTAAGATAAGGTCTGGCTCTGTCACCCAGGCTGGAGTGCAGTAGCATGATCTCAGGTCACTGCAACCTCCGCCTCCCGGGCTCAAGCGATCTTGCCACCTCAGCCTCCTGAGTGGCTGGTACTACCGGTACTCATTACCACACCCTGCTAATTTTTTGTATTGTATTTTGTAGAGACAGGGTTTCGCCATGTTACCCAGGCTGGTCTCAGACTCCTGGGCTCAAGCAGTCTTGCTGCCTTGGCCTCCCAAAGTGTTGGAATTACAGAGGCATGAGTTACCACGCCTAGCAATAACCCTTATGTAAGCATATCTGTCAGGCTTTTTGAGTTTTAAGCAATTTATTTTTATTCTTTGGTAAATGTCTATATGCATAAATTTCCTCTCTTTGAGTGTGTGTTTGTATGGGGGGGGCGGGGCTTAAAACCAACAACAACAAAGAAAAAATCTAAACAGAATCGTCTGTGATAACCATGAGGAGAATTTGTGTCTGTATTTCTGTGAGATCTTTTACATGCTAACTGTTGGCCCAGACTTTTAAATAGTTTAGAGTAGACTCTACTGAGCACTCGCCCTGTTTCTCCCAAACTACTTTCAGAAGCATTGGTGCTGCTTCTCATAGAGTCTGCTATATTCAGATCTTCAAAATTTAACCAAGATTCCCATATTATTGTATGTTATTAGGTAAAATGAGATCACGGAAAGAAGAGTTTATAGCTAAATGTAATAGCATAGGAGAAGCCAGCTAATTGATGACATGTTCATGTTTATGGATGCAAAATTAGATCCGGTGAAATCATTCTGAGTAATGGCTGGCCTTATGGTTATTTAGTCTCACCAATAATATTTCCAAAGGCTCACTAGATCTGTAGTCACAGCTAGACCCTAACTTTGGCACTGAAAATAAATTTTTTACATTTTCTGATCAGTATCCAAAATCTAAATCCAAGAACCTACATATTGTTTCATTTTGTTGATGCAATAAAAATGCCTATGTCCTTCTTTTCCATTAGAATTTGTTGAAATTACCCCCAAAAAGCAACCAAAGGGACCTGTCTGGTAAGTCAAAAAGGAAAGGCTGTTTTTTAGAATGGCATTCTTGCTGCAGAGCTACACTCACTGAGTGTCTATTTTTTTCAGTAAAGCTTTTCCACCCTTATTTCTCTCCATCCCCACACCAGTTAATGTATTTAATCCTTTGTGTTTGCTCAGTATAATTTAGAAATATAATTTATTAAACATAGTTCTTATGCTGTACACGGTGCTATGGTCTATTTTGGATTGTAAGTCTCTGGGTTTTGGGGCCTGCATCCCTCATTCATTTCACACTTTATGTCTATCAGGTACTGGGCGTCATTCTGGGGTACAAAGATGATTCTGACACAACCCCTGCCTTCAGGGAGTCCACAGACTAGTGTGAGGACACAAGCATATAAACCAAAAAGTCCCATAAAGTTGATACATAGGTGCTCCACTAGCTGGGTGTACAGGGTAAAGCAGGCTGAGGAAAGGGCTTAGTTAATAAATGTTAGCAATGGAGGTGAGTGCTGAGTCCTAAATCCAAATTTCCAGTTGTGGATACTCACTCAAAAGCTACGTAGGTTACAAGAGTCACTGACAGAAAAATTGATGAAAGCCCACAACCAATATATGTAATAAACGTCAGAGCCATCGTTTGAGCAGGCAGCACAGATGTCCTAGATAGGTCCTGGAAAATGAAATAATTGCTTTTAATAATCAAATATTTTAAAATAAATACAAGACTTATGATTTATCAAGTATTCTAGGGATCCATTCACAGTCTATTCAACAAACCTATGAGGTAGGCACAATTATTACTATCAGGTAAAGATAAGGAAACTGAGACGCAGAGAGGTTAAGTAACTTGCTCAAGGACACACAGATAGAAAGTGGAGAAGCCAGGATTCAAATTCAGGTCTGGCACACTCTAAAGCCCACGTACTTGATCACTGCATTATAGTGCAATGGAAAGGAACTGGACTAGGAGCCTAAAGACTGCGATTTAGCTCCTGCCTCTTACATTTCTTAGTTCTATGACTGTGGGCAATTATCTAACAAGTGAGTCTTAATTCTGATTTTAATAAAATGACAATAGCAACTCCCCATTCTACCTATCTGGCAGGACTGTTGGGATGATTACGTAAGAGCATTTATGTCAAAGTGTTTTGTAAAAATCTTAAAGTGCATTGCAAACTAAACCATTTTTATTACCCATCCTAATCTGAATTCCTTAGTTCTCTTAATTATTTAAAAGAGAAAAACTTAAATGTAAAAAGAGAATGTGAAAAAATACTTGTCTTTCATGTTCAAGTATTTTCCTTCAGGTGCATTTGCTTATTAGAAGAGAAATCTCTCTTTTTTTTTTTTTTTTTTTTTTGAGATAGCATCTCTCTCTGTTGCCCAGGCTGGAGTACAATGACATGATTTCGGCTCACTGCAACCTCCACCTCCCAGGATCAAGTGATTATCCTGCCTCAGCCTCCTGAGTAGCTGGGACTACAGGTGCGCACCACCACGCCTAGCTAATTTCGTTATTTTTAGTAGAGACGGGGTTTCACCACGTTGGCCAGGCTGGTCTCGAACTCCTGACCTCAAGTGATCCACCCACCTCAGCCTCCCAAAGTGCTGGGATTACAGGCATGAGCCACCACGCCTGGCAAGGAGTAATCTCATTGGTGTATAAATCAGCCACAATATCATATGTGCTGATCTGTCTAATCCATCAGATTAGACATTGTAGTGTGATGCCCAGCTACCCCTCAGACCCAGAATTTAAGGCCACGTGGCACGGGCATATTACCAGTAGAATGCCGAAGCTTGTCAGATGGCTACAGGTACAGATGGTTTCATTCAATCTCCTGTCTTTGACGGAGCAGCCATCGTCTGACCAGCCTCCTCTGCCACCTGTTGGCATTGGGAAAAGTATCTGTCCCATCAGCAAGGCCACAGCACCAGTGACTTCACGCCCTCCCCAATTAACCCACTCAAGAGTTTGAAAAGGTTATGACTAGAACTTACCATTTCTGCCCAAGTCCCAAAATACACATCTCACTGTTAACTCATCCTGTGGTAGAAAGATAAATCACAAATAATTAATTTAGTGAACTGGAAAAAAAAAAAAAAAAACTGAAAGGTATTTGAAAAAAAAAAAAACTGTGTTTTTTTTTATTTCAGAATCTTAGGCGTAATTTTTGGAGAGTTCTTATTTTATGTGGTCCCTAGAAGCAAGTGAGCCCTAAATAGACCAGCATTTCTTAAGCTCATCAATCGTGCATAGGAATCAATTTGGGGCCTTGTGAAAATGCACATTCTGACTCAGTGGGTCTGGGGTGGGGCCTGAGACTCTGCATTTCTAGCAAACTCCCAGGTGATGCTGATGCTGTGGGTGTGTGGACCACACTGTGAGTAGTGAGGTCGTAGATGATGCTTAGTGTGGACTGAGCTGAGAATCAGACCTGCAGCCACAGATCCCCACACACTGATATCTGATATTTCACAGTTGTTAAGAGCTTGCTTTTGCACCGATTCTTCCTGGAAATTTAGTGGTCAAATTTTTTTTTTTTTTTTTTTTTTTGAGACAGGGTCTCACTTTGTCACCCAAGCTGGAATGCAGTGGCCCAAACACAGCTCACTGCAGCCTTGAGCTCCCGGGCTTGTGATCCTCCCACCTCAGCCCTCCAAGTAGCTGGAACTATAGGCGCCTGCCACCACGCCCAGCTAATTTTTGTATCTTTTGCAGAGATGGGGTTTTGCCATGTTGCCCAAGCTGGTCTCAAACTCCTGAGCTCAGACAATCTGCCTGCCTCAGCCTGTCAAAGTGCTGGGATGACAGTGTGAACCACCGCACCTGCCCTGGTCAATTATTAAGTGTGTTAAAACCCAATGGAGAGGTGTGATTCTAGTCCTACACACTACTCCAATTGAGCTGAAGCTTCTTTCTGCCTGATCTGCCTTTTGCCGGCCACGCCTTACAAGCATAGTTTGTACAAGGTGTTCTTGGTCAATGACCAGATGGCACTGGCCTCTCCCCACCTGGCTCGGGTTGACGTGCTTTAATGTGACTGTCACGTTTCTTGTCAAGTTCCTGACGGTCAGGTTTGCAACACTCGATGATATGACGTAGCTGATCAGAGAGAGGTTCTCCAGGGAAGGATCCTGGCACATGAAGATGGCAAGGGTAAATGAGATATTGTCAGAGTTTTAGAGCTAGAAGGAACACTAAGGAATATTCTGTCCACATTGTTTATCTTACAGTGTACGTCAGAAATCGAGGAACAAGGAGGAAAGTGACTTTCCCAAGGGTTCACAATGAGAGAAACAGAGCTCGTTCCACGATACAACGCTCTAACTACTGAGCTAAACTGCACAGATTGACACAACAGGATTTTGTGAATCTTTAGAGGGAACATAGCATTAAGCCATTTAAGCTGTGTTTCCCCAAGCAAGTCACTTAACCTCTCTCTGCACCTCCATGGCTTCATCTGTAAAATGGGATAATAATAGTTCCTTCCTCTCAGGGTTGCTGAAAGGATTAGAGTTAACATTGTAACTGCTTAGGATAGTGCTTGGCAATTAGTAAATATAAATACTACGTAACTGTCAGTTACTGTTATTTATCATCACCAGTATCATTAGGCTGTGTTTTAAAATGAACTGCAGCATTTCGGCAATTCATTTGACTTACAGCAGCCTTAAGAATATTTGAGCACTAAAAGAAATGAAATGCCCTCGTCTCCAAATAAAACCCAAGCCAAAAGCAGTGAGCAGCAGTTTTACCTGAAACAAGGCAGGTGTTTCAAAGAAATTGAACTGAACCCTGGAAGCTAGCTCCATGTCATTAGCTGGTAAATTATTCATCAGCGATGAAGGAAGAGTAATTGTGCCAATACTGTTCTCAGGAGCTTGGGTTTCCAGAGAAACCTGAAAATCAAGTGGAAGATAAAAATAAATATCTGGAGCTAGTATAATGAGATGGAAAACACACCTATTAGGTTGGTGCAAAAGTAATTGCACTATTTGCCATTTTTTTTTTTAAAGGTAAAAACCACAATTACTTTTGCACCAGCCTAATAGTTAAGACACAGGGTTCTGTGAGGACCTGACCTGCAGCATCTCTATGTAAAATAGCTTCTACTTCTATTCCTCTGGTTGCTACTAAATTAAAGAAAGGAAGTGCAGGCCGGGCACGGTGGCTCACGCCTGTAATCCCAACACTTTGGGAGGCCGAGTTGGGCAGATCACCTGAGGTCAGGAGTTTGAGACCAGCCTGGCCAACATGGCGAAACCCCATCTCTACTAAAAATATAAAAATCAGCAGGGTGTGGTGGCAGGCACCTGTCATCCTAGCTACTTGGGAGGCTGAGGGAGGGGAATATCTTGAACCTAGGAGGTGGAGGCTGCAGTGAGCCAAGATCGCACCACTGCACTCAACCCAGGGCCACAGAGCGAGACTTCATCTCAAAAAAAAATAAGGACAGGAGGCCCCAAGAAGGAAAGGAAACATTTTAAGGATGCATAGAAATAGCTGAAAAGTGCAAGATGACTGCAGATCCCAGAGAGACTGTAGCAGCAGACACACCAAGTTAGTGTCAAGTCCTCATAGAACCATGTGCACTGCACTTGTAAAGGGAAGACTGTGAAAATTAAAAAGTGAGACTTGGTTTCCTTGGGTGTTTGCAGTCCCCAATCCCTCTAAATAGGTGGACAGAAAACACTAGAAACAGGAATGATATTCAGCACCACTATATAGAGCAGTGTAGTTCTAACACTTGTTATAATATTGAAATGTGATAAGTAGCTGACACCCCTGCCTACTCTTCCAACTGCCTAGAACCCTCTGCTGGATACCACCCATGCCAGCTTCCAAAATTCAGCTGCTAAAGGGTTAACACAGGGAATAACAGGGACCTCCGACATCCTGCACCAGCCAAGACCAACGTTGTCTTTTTTTTTTTTTTTTTTTTTTTGAGACGGAATATTACCTGTCGCCCAGGCTGGAGGGCAGTGGTGCAATCTTAGCTCACTGCAACCTCTGCGTCCTGAGTTCAAGCAATTCTCCTGCCTCAGCCTCCTGAGTAGTTGGGATTACAAGTGCATGTCACCACGCCCAGCTAATTTTTGTATTTTTAGTAAAGACAGGGTTTCACCATGTTGTCCAGGCTGGTCTTGAACTCCCGACTTCCAGTGATCCACCTGCCTTGACCTCCCAAAGGTCTGGGATTACAGGTGTGAGCCACTGCGCCCGGCTTGATTCTGTGGTGCCTCTCTGTTCTAGATGCCAAATATTTTGAATATCACCCCAGACTATAAGCAGTAATTGCCTCAATCATGAAATACAACGGGGACTACAATCACACACAAGAGAATGTTTTTTTCTGACATCAATTACAACGTACCTGAAGATTTGCAGGGTCTTGGGCCACAAAGGTAGTTGTGTTGAAACTACTGGCATTTACTCTGATCACGGCCAGAGCCAAAGAAGGGGAGGTTAGACTTATGGTCTTGTTTGAAAAGTTCAGCTGTAGGCCAATGTCATCCACTACTTTCAGCAATCTGTAAAGAAAGGTGGGCAGTTTGTTTGTTTGTTTGTTTGTTTATTTAGAGACGGAGTCTCGCTCTGTTGCCAGGCTGGAGTACAGTGGTGTGATCTCGGCTCACTGCAACCTCTGCCTCCTGGGTTCAAGCAATTCTCCTACCTTAGCCTCCCGAGTAGCTGGGACTACAGATGCACACCACCACGCCTAGCTAATTTTTTGTATTTTAGTAGAGACGGGGTTTCACCATGTTGGCCAGGATGGTCTTGATCTCCTGACCTCGTGATCCGCCCGCCTCAGCCTCCCAAAGTGTTGGGTGCAGTGGCGCCATCTTGGCTCACTGCAACCTCCACCTCCTGGGTTCAAGCGATTCTCCTGCTTCAGCCTCCTGAGTAGCTGGGACTACAGACACGCATCACCACACCTGGCTAATTTTTGTATTTTTAATAGAGACAGGGTTTCACCATGTTAGCCAGGCTGGTCTCAAACCCCTGACCTCAAGCAATCTGCCCGCCTCAGCCTCCCAAAGTGCTGGGATTACAGGCGTGAGCCACAGTGCTCAGCCTCAAGGTTGGCAGTGTAGATTTGGCAGGCCTGCTCTGTCTCCTCATTCTAAGCAGAATATAGAGTAGCAACCTGAGAAACCATGATGTACCTGGTATTTGGGAGTAAAAGACTTGGTGATATTAATCATGTGAGCAGCATCTTTGTCTTTGGAGGGTCCCCTCTCACCACCACTTCAGTTTGCTAAGTCGTACCTTTGAGCCAGAGGGGCCAGCATGTCGGGCGGGGAATGAAGAAGTTTGCTGACTTGGTTTATCATTTCTCCTGCGAGGTTAGGCTCCAGGCTGCCAAAGGACAGAGCCTTCTCCATCTGCGACACTTGGTTCTCAAGATCAGAAATACTGCTGGTGTTGACGATGTCTGTATCAAAGAGCCAAATCGTGTTATGAACACACAATGGAAAACCCACTAATAAAGATAAACGTACACAGACCCTGTGATATGGCAAACTCACCCCTGGGTATTTGCTCCAGATAAATGAAAACATATGTCTTAGGAAGACTTGTTCATGAATGTTTACGGTGGCCTTTTTCATAATAGTCCCAAACTAGAAACAACCCAAATGCCCATCAACTGGAGAATGAATCAACAAACTGTGGTACCTCCATCCAGTGAAATATTATTCCATGATAAAAACGAATTAACTTTAAATACACGCAACAGCATGGGTGGATCTCCAATTTGCCAATGCATTATGTGAAGTGAAAGAAGCCAAACTCAAAAGGCCACATACTGAGTCTCTTCATATGATATTCTAGAAAAATCCAAAAAACTGTAGGGAAAGAGATCAGTGGTAGCCAGGGGCTGGGGTGAGGGGCTAGGTTTTGACTTTGAAGGGACACAAGGGAACTTTGGGAGTAGTAGGGAAACTTATATATATATCTTGATTATGATAGTGGTTACATGACTGTGGGTGTTTCCACCTGCACAGAACTGCAAAAATTTGATTTAACCATAAAATTGGATACATTTTACTGTATGTAAATTATACTTCAATAAATCTAACTAAAAAATATAAAGCACATCAGTGTATTTAGTATATACTCATATAAGCACAAGTATGCTTGTATTTAATTTATATCATGTGTACAGGATTTTATGTGGATTGCTGGAAGCTCTTTTGTGAAAAAGAGAATATTATGGGCCAGGCACGGTGACTCATGCCTGTAATCCCAGCACTTTGGGAGGCTGAGGCAGGTGGATCACCTGACGTCAGGAGTTCGAGACCAGCCTGGCCAACATGGGGGAACCCTGTCTCTACTAAAAATATTTTTAAAAGTAGCCAGGTGTGGTGGCATGTGCCTGTAGCCCCAGTTACTCGAGAGGCTGAGGCACGAGAATCGCTTGAACCCAGGAGGCAGAGGTTGCGGTGAGCCGAAATTGCGCCACTGCACTCCAGCCTGGGTGACAGAGTGAGACTCTCTCTCTCAAAAAAAAAAAAAAAAGAATATTATGAAATCCACAGCTGGACTATCACCTGTAAGTCTGATTTTTAATAGTGTTTTTAATAGGGAAACAATGATACAAACCTGTCTTTAACAACAGACAACTCTTAATTTCACCACTTAACATCCTATTATTTTGCCTATTCCAGTCAAATCTTTATGCATGTGTATTTACACTATTATAAACATGGTGTGCAAACTATTTGTTGTTGGGCTATTTTCACCTCACATCAAGACTTGTAAATGCCCCCAAGTTTCTGTATATTTCTGTTTCTGTTCTAATGACTTACATGGTCGCATAATAGTCATTGTGTTAGAGTAGCACATCTTATTTAATCATTCCTGTCTTCTGGAACCATTAAGTTTATTCTAATTTTTAGCTCCTGGGTAACACCTCAATCTGTATCTTTTATGCATATGTCACTTTGCTTCTTGTTGCCCCAGGAATACACAGGCACCAGAGGCCACCTTGATAGTGTTTTGTGTAGCCTGTTAGGCTGAGTCTAAGGATCGTTGGGAATTAGCTTTGGGAAGGTGGGCATCTTAGGCCCAGGCTAATGAACTTCAATTTTACTTTATTCTTCATCAGTCATTTGGACCTTCCTTTGACTAGAGCCCCAATGATTTTCTAATTTGGCCGAAAATATTTATATTTATAAAAAATTATTGGCTGGGCACAGTGGTTCACACCTATAATCCCAACGCTTTTGGAGGTTGAGGTGGGAGGATCACTTGAGCCCAGGAGTTTAAAACCAGCCTAGGCAACATAGCAAGACCCCAAATAAGGGAAGGAAGGAAGGAAGGAAGGAAGGAAGGAAGGAGGGAAGGAAGGAGGGAGGGAGGGAGGGAGGGAGGGAGGGAGGATATTGAAGAGAGAGCAGTGCAAATTTGAAGAAATATGAAGTCATTTAGCAGAAGCTCCTTATCTCCTGGTGATGCTAGCACCAGGGTAGAGGAGGTGGGTACCAAAATCAATCTAATGTCACCAAAAACTTGGCTTCCCCCATCCTCCAAATTCTAGAGGAAGACCTGCCTCTTACTCACAGAGCTGAAACTCCAGAATATCCAGATTTCTCTCAGCTTCTTTCCCTCTTGCCTTTCTCTCTGTACCACTAAGCCCACTTTGGACCCGGGAGCCCTTGGCGGTTTCCACAGCGTTCTCACGTACACCTTCATTCTCAGCCTCATGCAGTTAGTGTGATGATTTTGATCCTCACATAGAACAGGCAGAGGCAGGAGGAGCTTGTTCCAGATCACACTGTCCGCGAGGGCCCGTGCGGACCCAAGCCTGGGTCTTCACAGTGTTTCTCCCCTCCTACCACTACCTTGGCTCAGTCCCAGCTCGGTCACTCCGTGACTGACTGACTTTCAGACCTGCCAATTTTTTCTTTTGTCTTCTGTCTAAACTGAGCTGCAATGTTTAATAGATCAAAAGTTTACTCTTCAGGGTGTTGAAAACAGTGTCCCAACCACCTTTTGTAGGAGAAAGAAACCTAGAAAATCTCCAACTCTATCAAGTGAGATCTGTGCTTGCCCCTTAGAGCTATTTCTCCATTATCTTGGTCAAAACAATGGAACTCAGCTACAGCCAAGAAGCAAAGTGACAACTACATGAAAGATACCTGGGAGCTAAAAAGTAGAATAAACTTAATGGTTTCAGAAGAGAGGAATGATTAAATTAGATATGCCACCTCAACACAATGACTATTATGCAACCACGTAAGTCATTAGAACATTAGAATGCCTAAAGGAAAGCTCTAGAAATCAAGCGAACATCATACAAAGAAAGGCTCAACATGGTCTTATCATAGATGTCTTGACTGGCAGATTGGCCGCTGTTCAAGCGGCATCTTACATTTACCTGTCTGGACAGGAGGTGCGCTGGTAGTGATGACATTCGCAGGGGCAGACACGGTGGGAGAGGAAAATGAGGCTTTCACAGGAGGTGGGGTGCCGGAAACATGGGTTTGGGGCATAGGGGAAGAGATTGTTTCAGACTGTGGGGACATGTCAATGACAGGGCTGGAAGCTATGGGAGCTGAAGGCTGAGGTGAAAGGGGGTGAATCTCCCCTATTGGAGAGAGCACATTGTGGGTCACAGGTGAATAATCTGGGGGCTCAGCAAAAGAGGTAGCATTGGGGACCTGGGAAAGCACAGTGGCCCGAGGCACCACTGGGATGGATTGGCTGGAAGAAAATGGTGGGCCACGTGGATGGTCAGCAAGACAGACAATGGGATCCTGCAGGTCACTAAAGGAACAAATCAGAGAGATACATGTGAGACACGAATGAGCTACAGAGGGGCGAGTCTTTCCCCTCTGGCAATCATCTGACACCGTCAAGTTGACGTAGTTACATCAGGGACATGACACTTCCAGCCTCTGCCATTTCACACCCTCTGTGCACCTGCCACTAGCCCCCAGCCCCTGCCCACTTCTACCACCTACTTCCTGGGACAGGAATGAGCAAGGAGAGATGCTCTTCTGTGACTCCCCAGTTCACTGCTGCTCTGTGGCTCTACGTCTCATGGTCACTCAATTGAGGGGATCTTCTCTGTGCTCCCGGGGGAGGGGAACTATGAAATGCCTCGTGACCCAACTGGTTTTCATATACTAGGAATCTATCTTAATCAACTTTACACTGCTATAGCCTGGCATAGTGGTAGCTGACCCATGGTAACTGACCAAGAAATGTTGGTTGAATGAAAACAATGAATCAAGCTAGGGCAAAAGGGGTGGTCCCCAGCTTCTACATCAGCTATGTCTTCAAGGTTCCTTTAGCTCAGTGGTTCTCAACCTTGGCTGTGCATGAGAACTACCCAGAACATTTTTTTTTTTTTTTTTTTTTGAGATGGAGTCTCACTCTTGTCACCCAGGCTGGGGTACAGTGGCACGATTTTGGCTCACTGCAACCTCTGCCTCCTGGGTTCAAGTGATTCTCTTGCCTCAGCCTCCCGAGTAGCTGGGACTACAGGCAACCGCCACCACGCCTGGCTACTTTTTGTATTTTTGGTAGAGATGGGGTTTTGCTGTGTTGGCCAAGCTGGTCTCGAACTCCTGACCTCCAGTGATCTGCCCACCTCGGCCTCCCAAAGTGCTGGGACTACAGGCGTGAACCACTGTGCCTGGGCCAGAACACTTTTTAAAACATATATGTATATAGATTTCTGTGGCCTACTCCTCTGTGTTTGATTCAGCTGGTCTTGGGATGGGGCATGTGTATTTTCTAAACTCTCTGGCGATTTTCCTGGGCATCAAAGGTGGAGAAGTCGTCACCTACTCTCTGGCACAAGATCTGTCAGTCCTGAGAGACCTAGGGAGGAACAACTAGAGGAGGAGCAACAAATTATTACCCAGGGAATATTTGCCCAGGGAAGCCTCTGATCGATCTAGTTTTAGATGGAGACTTAGAACACCAATGAGAATGTGTTCTTAGAGCTTCTCTAGGGTGAGAAGAGGGAGGAATATTAGGTCAAGGGGCCTAAAGCAATTCACAGCTATAAAAAGAAAAGCCTGCTTGGTCCAGTCTGGCTGGTCACTTGGCCATAGGCCTCCCTGCATCCCCTGAGGTTTGGGGCAGTGAGGATAAAGGGGTGTCAGACAGTCAGAAACGTCATGAGTCAAAAAGCCTAGACTTGGCCGGGTGCGGTGGCTCATGCCTGTAATCCCAGCACTTTGGGAGGCCGAAACGGGTGGATCACCTGAGGTCAGGAGTTCCAGACCAGCCTGGCTAACATGGCGAAACCCCGTCTCTACTAAAAATACAAAAATTAGCCAGGCGTGGTGGTGGGTGCCTATAATCCCAGCTACTCGAGAGGCTGAGGCAGGAGAATCGCTTGAACCCGGGTAGCGGAGGTTGCAGTGAGCCAAGATTGTACCACTGCACTCCAGCCTGGGTGAAAGAGTGAAACTCTGTCTCAGAAACAAACATACAAACAAACAAACAACCTTCACTTGGGCTCCAGCTCTCACTACTCCTGTGGACAATTTACCCAACATCTCTCAGACTCCATTCCCTAAGCTGTACACTGTAGCAACCCACCTGGCCAAGTTGGGGTAAAGGTGCTTTGCAAAGTATACATTAAATTTTCTTCAGCTTATCTGGGGGCCTGCAGAAGGTAGGCCCCCAACACAGGCTCCCATTCACTGGGCTCAACTGTGAAGAGGTTGCTTTCTACTCTTGTCGCTTATGCTAGTCGGAGCCCTCCATCCACTGTGAGGCACACAGGGAAGTGGCAGAGCAGTGGTGGGCAATGCCAGCAGCACATCTGAACCCCTCAGAGCACCTTGGCACCAATGCCTGGGCTCCCACTCCAAACCAGCTGACCTGGAACCTCTGGCGGTGGGCGCAGGTGCCCATTTTAATGCACGTCATTTTAATGTGCTTCTTTACTGCGGTGTAGCCTGCATAAGGTGTACTAATCTTACATTTAGAGCTTGACGAATTTTATATATAATCACCACCTAGATCAAAACAGAGCATTTCCAGCACCCCAGAAGGCCACTTTGACACATCAGTATGTTTTAAAAATACCCCAGGTATTTCTAATGTACAGTTAAACTTAAGAACCAACATATTAGAAAGACCCTGAGTGGGCATCTAATTCTGACCCAGTGGTTCTCGAACTTGGCTGCGCATTAGAATCACCCCACCCAGGAGATTTTAAAAACCAGGAAGCCCAGGCTGCATCCTAGACCAATCTCTAAGGGTGGGAGGCAGGCATCTGTGTATTTTTAAAATTCATTCATTCATTCATTCATTCAGAGACGGGGTCTTGCTTTATCACCCAGGCTGGAATGCAGTGACATGATCATGACTCACTGCAGCCTCCACTCCCCAGGCTCAAGTGATCCCTCCTGCCTCGGTCTCCCAAGTAGCTGGGACTACAGGTGTACATCACCCTGCCCAGCTAATTTTTAAAAACTGTTTGTAGAGACAGGGTCTCACTATGTTGCCCTGGCTGGTTGTGAACTCCTGGCCTCAAGCAATCCTCCCACCTACGCCTCCCAAAGGGCTGAGATTATAGGCGTGAGCCACCATGCCCGGCTGCATTGATGTTTTTTAAAACACTCCAGAGGATTTCAACATGCGGCCAGGATTGAGAACCACTGGCACTGCTCTACAGTCTGTATATAGACCCTCGGTGCTCAAAGTGGGGTCCATGAACCAGCAACACTGGCTTCACCTGGAGAGCTTGTCAGAAATGTGGAGTCTCAGGCCCAGGCCTTACTGGATCGGAATCTGCATTTTAACAAGATCCTGAGTGATGGATGTGGACGGTGATCTTTGAGAAGTGCTGATCCAGTCCATTTCCTAATTTTACAGAGCTCTAACTCACTTCTTCATTTGACCTGAGACTCTGAAGGTTAAAAAGCATCTGCTCTTGAACACGGATACACAGCTAGTTAATGACTGAGCCCTAGCTGGACATCAGTTTCACATCCTGACCCCTTTTCTATTCCTGTTTCTTCTTCTTAACCACTCTCTGAATGGGCAGCCACTAGGGGTCAGTGGGGCTGCCTCAAAAGAGGGATGCTCTTCTGATCAGATCCCAATGCTTCCAGAAACTCTATCCCCCAAATGGGGCTCAATGCTCCAGCTTAATGAGGCATGTGAAGCTGAATGGGGCAAGTTACTCTTTACTTTTTATTGCAGAAAATGCTGCTACAAATCCTTAACTAAAGACTTTTACCTGTTCCTCAAGGCCCAATGTTTTAATATTAGTATATCTCAGAAATCTGGCCCACAAAGGGCACACAGGCTACACTTAGCCTTCTCCTCCCATCTGAGAAGCTACACAGATTTTTTAAAAAGTCCTTTTTTTCCAAATACAATTTTTATCTGATTGTAGAAGAATATAGAAAATGCTGCAAAGTAAGAAATAAAAGAAAAAGTAAAAAAACAAAACAAAGCAAAATTCATAATGCCAGCAGGCAGGTCATTCATGGGGAATCACAGTGAACATTTTCATTCATGTCCTTCCTGTTTTTTTCTATGTATATTTCTACACACCTGTGGTCACATCATGTGTGACTGAAGAGTCTTTTGCTATTTTGGAGCACCCATCTCCCAGTTTCCCTCCATTGGAGCAATGATTTTAAGGCATCAATTCTCAACTCTCGTCGCACATTAGAATCGCCAGCAGGGCTTATATTTTTATTTATTTATTTATTTTTGAGACAGGGTATTGCTCTGTTGCCCAGGCTGGAGTGCCGAGGAATGAACATAGCTCACTGCAGCCTTGAGTTCCTGGGCTCAAGTGATTCTCCCACCTCAGACTACAGGCACGTGTCACGATGCCCAGCTTTTTTTTTTTTTCCCCCAATTTTTAGTAGAAACGAGATCTCGCCCAGGCTGATCTTGAACTCCTGAGTTCAAGCAGTTCTCCCACCTGGGCCTTCCAAAGTGCTGAGATTATAGGCGTGAGCTACTGCACCTGGTGCAGAAGGGCCTTAATGCCTAAGCTATATCCTAGACCAATTAAATCAGAATCTCTGAGCCTGGTGACTGGGAATCAGTATTTTTTTTAACTTTTTATTGGAATTAATTTTAGGCTTACAGAAATACTATAAAAACAATACAAACAGTTCTGTATACCTCCCATGTAGCTTGGTCGCCCACTGTTAACATCTAACATCCAGATTAGACCCAAATGCCTATCAAAATTTAGTATACGACAAAGGTGACATCTCGGATCAGTGGGGAAAAGATGAACTTTTTCATATTTAACTACATAAAATTGTTTCAAAATTTGCATGACAGAAAACATGATAAAGTCAAAAGACAACTAAAATACTGGGAGAAAATATTTGCAACATATACCATAGATATGCTTATAAAGAGCTAATATGCACAATATATAAAGTACTGTTTTTTTTTTTTTTTTGAGACAAAGTCTCGCACTTTCACCCAGGCTGGAGTGCAGTGATGCGACCTCCGCTCACTGCAAGCTATGCCTCCCGGGTTCACACCACTCTCCTGCCTCAGCCTCCTGAGTAGCTGGGACTACAGGCGCCCGCTGCCACGCCTGGCTAATTTTGTTTTTGTATTTTTAGTAGAGACGGGGTTTCACCAGGTTAGCCAGGATGGTCTCGATCTCCTGACCTCATGACCCACCCGCCTTGGCCTCCCAAAGTGCTGGGATTACAGGCGTGAACCACTGCGCCTGGCTAAAGTACTCTTAAATAATGGATCAGATATCAATTAGAAAGACCATCCTGGCTAACCCGGTGAAACCCCGTCTCTACTAAAAAATACAAAAACGGCCGGGCGCGGTGGCTCAAGCCTGTAATCCCAGCACTTTAGGAGGCTGAGACGGGCGGATCACGAGGTCAGGAGATAAAGACCATCCTGGCTAACCCGGTGAAACCCCGTCTCTACTAAAAAATACAAAAACGGCCGGGCGCGGTGGCTCAAGCCTGTAATCCCAGCACTTTGGGAGGCCGAGACGGGCGGATCACAAGGTTAGGAGATCGAGACCATCCTGGCTAACAGGGTGAAACCCCGTCTCTACCAAAAAAATACAAAAAGCTAGCCGGGCGAGGTGGCGGGCGCCTGTAGTCTCAGCTACTCGGGAGGCTGAGGCAGGAGAATGGCGTGAACCCGGGAGGCGGAGCTTGCAGTGAGCTGAGATCCCGCCACTGCACTCCAGCCTGGGCGACAGAGCGAGACTCCGTCTCAAAAAAAAAAAAAAAAAAAGAAAAAGTACAGAAAAGACATGTACATGTAATTCACAAAAAGATACAAAATGGCCCCCAAGTATATGAAAAAAAGTTCAGACTCTGCCTTAGTAAGAGAAATGTTGATTAAAGTAACACTGAGATACCATTTCTCACGTATCAGACTGTCAAACATATTTTTAAAATGACAAAACATTTAGTTGGTGAGCCTTGGGAGTCAGCGTTTTTAATGCTCCTCAGGTGGTTCTAATGTGCAGCTAAGATTTCAAACCACTGGTTTAAGGCAACCGTCCAAGTGGAAATTTACTTCATGCTGCAGAAAACTGCGTTTTCCCTGAAACTGAAAGCCTTCTTTACTCCCCAAATTCTAAAACTCCTTAGCTAGCATGGTGATTTTTTTTTTTTTAAAGAGAAGGGTCAGTATGTTTGTTACATACCACTGAAGCTTTTCCAACTCTTCTGGGGAGGAAGGGCAGGGTGTCCTGACAGAACAGCAGCAGTGTTCTAGGGCAGACAAAAGGAAAAGGAACAAGAAAAATGCACGGTCAAGAACAAAGCAAGGTGGCAGCTCAGAACCATTAAGTATCATGGTTCCTACACTGCCTGCATTTAAAAGAGCAATTGTCTAAAACACGTGATAAAATAGATTGGACGCCGTTATATTGACAATTATATACTGTATACATAGTAGTGCTCAAAAATATTTATTGATTTTTTGGGGGGTTATATGCATGCCATACTAATCACTCTTCAGTAACTCCTAAGAGGAATTCACAAGTGAACACATCTTGGAGGACAGGATGTTAAGTGAAATAAGCCAGGTACAGAAAGACAAATACCGCATGATCTCACTCAGATGTGGAATCTAAAAAGTCAAACTCATAGAAACAGAGTGAAATGCTGTTTACTGGGGGGTCAGAGGTGGAGGGATTGGGGAGATATTGGACAAAGGACACAAAATTTCAGTTAGGCAGGAGGAATAAAAGAGATCTATTGTACAACATGATGACTACAGTTAATAAGAATGTGTTGTATGCTTGAAAAGAGAGATCTTAAATGTTCTTACCACAAAAAATGATAGGTATGTGAGGTAATGCAAATGTTAAATAGTTGATATAGCCATTCCGCGATGTATAGCAAAACATCACATTGTACACCACAAATATGTAAAATTTTTGCTTGTCAATTAAAAAAGTGGACATATCCCAGTAGCAATCCATTGAACACTCCAAAAAGAATTCTCCTTCTCAGCAGGGTTTATCATATTATCAAATAAGACATATTAAAACTTTATTGGCAGGAAGGGAGAGCATTAGGACAAACACCTAATGCATGTGGGGCTTAAAACCTAGGTGACGGGTTGATGGGTGCAGCAAACCACCATGACACATGTATACCTATGTAACAAACCTGCACGTTCTGCACATGTATCCCAAAACTTAAAGTAAAATAAAATAAAATAAAAAACTTTATTAGCAAGCAGGAAAAATAACCTTCTAGGGCTCTTTAAAAATTGCCCAATGGACAGGCATGGTGGCTCATGCCTGTCATCCCAGCACTTTGGGAGGTCAAGGCAGGAGGATCACTTGAGCCAAGGAGTTCAAGAACAACCTGGGCAACATAAGGAGACTTCACCTCTATTAAAAATGTTAAAATTAGTTGGGTGTGGTGGTGCATGCCTGTAGTCCCAGCTACTCGGGAGGCTAAGGTAGGAGGATCACCTGAATCTGGGAAGTGGAGGCTGCAGTGAGCTATGATTGCGTCAACTGAGCCTGGTGACAGACTGAGACCCTGCCTCAAAAAAAAAAAAAAGAGAAATTGTGCAAGGACAAAGGAGTCAAAACAGAAAGCTGTAACATATGTAAATTTATTAATTACATTTTCAATTAGAAAAATAACACATTAAAAGCCACATGAAGATTAATGCAGCAATAATAGCAATAATAGACAACTTACCCATCGGTCGAATCTTTACTCTTTCCAAAGCAGCTATTACAGCACATGCATTCATTGTATTATTCAGTTTTATTGTGAATGTACAATTTAATGTGCTGTAAAGAGAAATATACATAACCAGAATGTTACTGAATGGGAAACCTACCTACATGTTTGTAGTTGCTTTTGCAAACTTAGAGTGAGGAAAGGGGACACTGATACTGTTAACTTGTGATGTCACCCCAATAAGCTTGTAAGTACCCATTTACCACGGTCTGAATTTTACCCAAAAAGACTATATTAAGAGACATTTATGGAGGTTCACATTCACAGATGTTGCAAACCAGAGACTCTCTGACCACACACAGGTGCTGGCTCATTTTGCCTGCCTACACAATGAACAGGCAGGGGTGAAACTTGGTTGCAGAGACAAGCAGGCACCTTGACACCTTTAATCTCACCCCCCAAACACTAGCTGGCCACTTGCCTGGTGTCTATAAACGTCTGAGTTTCCATCATGGGAGGCCTTTCACATGACAGTCTAGATGAACATCAAGATCTTTTTTTGTTTTAGACAGAGTCGCGCCCTGTTGCCCAGGTTGGAGTGCAGTGGCGTGATCTCAGCTCACCGCAACCTCCCTGCCTTCCAGGTTCAAGCGATTCTCCTCCCTCAGCCTCCTGTGTAGCTGGGATTACAGCCGTGCATCACCACACCACACTAATTTTTGTGTTTTCATTAGAGATGGGGTTTTGCCATGTTGGCCAGGCTAGTCTCAAACTCCTGACCTGAGGTGATCTGCCCACCTCGGTCTCCCAAAGTGCTGGGATTACAAGCGTGAGCCACTGCACCCAGCCACATCAGGATCTTTCAAATCCAAAATCTTTCTGGGGCCAGGTGTGGTGGCTCACACCTGTAATCCCAGCACTTTGGGAGGCCGAGGCGGG